TGCCCGGCCTTTTTTTTTAGATGGAGTTTCACTCTGTTGCCCAGGCTGGAGTGCAGTGGCGCGATCTCGGCTCACTGCAACCTCTGCCTCCGGGGTTCAAGCGATTCTCCTGCCTCAGCCTCCCAAGTAGCTGCTGGGACTACAGTCGCCTGCCACCATGCCTGGCTAATTTTTTGTATTTTTAGTAGAGACAGGGTTTCACCATGTTAACTAGGATGGTCTCTGTCTCCTGACCTTGTGATCCACCTGCCTTGGGCCTCCCAAAGTGCTGGGATTACAGGCGTGAGCCACTGTGCCCGGCCTGGAAACAGTACTTAGAAACCAGTCACCATGCTGTGAGGAAGCCCAAGCTGCCATGTGGCAAGGCCCTGCCAAGTGTTCATGCTGGGCCACACCACCTACCAGCCATATGAGGGAGGCCATTTTGGACTCTGGGAAAGTCATCTTAGTGGCCCAGCCACCAAGCAGGGAGCAGAAGAATAGCTGGTCAAATCGTAGAATCATGAGAAATAATAAATGCTTATTGCTTTAAGCAATGAAGTTTTGGCCGGGCGCGGTGGCTCAAGCCTGTAATCCCAGCACTTTGGGAGGCCGAGACGGGCGGATCACGAGGTCAGGAGATCAAGACCATCCTGGCTAACCCGGTGAAACCCCGTCTCTACTAAAAAATACAAAAATCTAGCCGGGCGAGGTGGCGGGTGCCTGTAGTCCCAGCTACTCGGGAGGCTGAGGCAGGAGAATGGCGTGAACCCGGGAGGCGGAGCTTGCAGTGAGCTGAGATCCGGCCACTGCACTCCAGCCTGGGCGACAGAGCGAAACTCCGCCTCAAAAAAAAAAAAAAAAAAAAAAAAAAGCATGCAATGGGTTTTGACCTCAAGCGCGGCATGAGCAAGACCTGTTCAGTTCTGCCCTGAAACTTGCTGTAGCTGGCTCTACCAAGCTCTTTCCAATATCAGAACACCTTATCCTCCGGCCCCAAATGCTTCACCGGCTGATGCCCTGTGAAGTCTCTGGGTCAGACAGGACTGGGGTTTGCAAGTGAGGATGAGGCACAGCTGCTAATACCAAGGAGAGTGAAAGCAGGAATGTTCCCCAGGCAGGTCTAAGGTTCGTAAAAAAAAAAAAAAAAAAAAAAAAAAAGCAATGAAGTTTTGGAGTGATTTGTTACATAGTAGTAAATAGCGCAAACGTTTTTCTGCCCCAAGTCCAATTATTTCCTATGCCCAGAGCCTCTCAAGCGGCATGAGCAAGACCTGTTCAGTTCTGCCCTGAAACTTGCTGTGGCTGGCTCCTACCAAGCTCTTTCCAATATCAGAACATATCCTCCGGCCCCAAATCGCCTTCACCGGCTGATGCCCTGTGAGGGTCTCTGGGTCAGACAGGACTGGGGTTTGCAAGTGAGGGATGAGGCACAGCTGTCCCTGGCCACCAAGGAGAGCCAAGCACAGGAATGTTCCCCAGGCAGGTCTAAGGTTCGTGTGGTGGCATCTTGGGTCAGAGTGTAATCTGTCTGCTGGGAGCATGGTCTTGTTTGAGCAACCTCCTTGCCTCCCTGCCTTCTTTACACATCTATTGAGCACCTACTGTGGGCCCTTCCTCCCGGAGGTACGAGGGGAGACAGTAGAGGTGATGAGGTCACTGTCCTGGTCCTTGGGTTCCACGGATGGGTAGGGGAGAAAGCCCAGATGTGACCAGTCACACTCAAGGTACCAAGTGCTGCGAGAGCTGTGGGGGTGTCCACAAAGGCCTCTGGGAGTAGGGGTGTCCCAGCTGTTGGGCACAGAAGAGGGGCCTGGCATCTGCAAAGACTGCATTGTGACCAGGGATGAAACTGGAGCACAGGGGCCTGTGGGGGTGGGGTGTGCTGGGTGGTGAGGAGCCTCGAATGCCAGAGCGAGAGCAGCCTGGGACCTAGCCCTGGGGAGCCAGGAAGTGACAGGAGAGGACCTGCCTCAGGTAAATGTGTCCAGCAGAAGAGACAGATGAATGGAAGGACACACAGACAGACAGAGAACAGGGAAGGGTCCAGGGAAACAGGGAGGAGGGAAAAGGCATTTCAGCAGCACTTGGATGTAGTCACCATGGTCACTTGCTGTGCCTTGGCTGCAGGGGGCTGCTTGCCTGGGCCCGCAGGACCAGACCAACAGAAAGTGTCTCTGTCCAGGAAACTTACTGCCCGATGCTGGGAATGAAGGAAATGTCTTCATTAAATCATCAAAGTGAGGGTGCGCAAACCACTCTGAAGCGATTCTGACCGAGAAGATGCTGCATCAACTTGGGGTGGGGGAACAACTGAGCCCCTTGTGTTTCCCTGGCAACGTTATTCTTCTGTCCTCCCAGGCCAACTATCAAAGTTGGAGAGGCCACAGCTGTCAGTCAGCATGCACGGGAATCAGTTGGCATATTGCCGGAGGTAACAGGAGGATTTAATCAAGGACCATTTACAGAGGTGGGGATGTATGTGAGGCAGTGCAGCTCTAGCTCAGAAGCTGGCAACAGCTGGACACCACCCCCTCTACCCCCTGTAAACACATCCTGGAGGCCTGAGGGGCAAGGGAAGGGAGCTGTGGAGAACGACAGTCCACCATGGCCAGGTTCTCCTGTCCTGTGAAGCTTATGCCCAGCGAACCTGGTCTTCCTAATGGACCCCAATGCTGTCTGCCTGACCACAGGCTGCACTTAGTGGACGAGGCTGGGGGCCACAGTCCAGAGGCCTTCCTGAGTATGCGAAGCTATAACTATAAGAATGGCCATTGCAGCGCCATCGGTAAGAGCTAAAAGCTGGACACAAGCCGGATGGCCTGCGGACGGGAAGGGTCAAATGAACTGCGATCCGCCCACATGAAGGAAAACTGGGCGCTGCTACAGGAAGGAGGCTCTTCGTGTGCCAACAGGGAGAGGGCTCAGCGCCAGCTCCCTAGGAAGGCAGGCTGCCAGTGAGTATGTCCAGAAGGAGGTCACTCTGGTAAAAACAACAAACAAGCCATCAACACTGGCTGTGCAGGCAAAGGCGCAGAGTTCAGAAGGAATTGTCCTGACTGTTAGCAGAGCTTACTTCAGGGGTGCAGCCAACATGATGGGGGGCTTCCACTTTGTATTTTATATGCTTTGTACTGTCTTTGTTCACACTAAACATACAACCCCTTTAAAAGTCATTTATGGAGGCTGGGCAAGGTGGCTCACGCCTGTAATCCCAGCACTTTGGGAGGCTGAGGCGGGTGGATCATGAGGTCAAGAGATTGAGACCATCCTGGATAACACGGTGAAACCCGTCTCTACTAAAAATATAAAAAACTAGCCGGGCATGGTGGTGGGCGCCTGTAGTCCCAGCTACTCAGGAGGCTGAGGCAGGAGAATGGCGTGAACCCAGGAGGCAGAGCTTGCAGTGAGCCGAGATGGCGCCACTGCACTCCAGCCTAGGCGACAGAGCGAGACTCCGTCTCAAAAAAAACAAATAAAATAAAAATAAATAAAAGTTATTTATGGCCAGGCATGGTGGCTCACACCTGTAATCCCCCCACTTTGGGAAGCTGAGGCGGGCGGATCACCTGAGGTCAGGAGTTTGAGAGCAGCCTGACCAACATAGTGAAACTCCATCTCTACTAAAAATACAAAATTAGCCGGGCATGGTGACACATGCGTGTCATCCCAGCTACATGGGAGGCTAAGGCAGGAGAATCACTTGAACCCAGGAGGCAGAGGTTGCAATGAGCTGAGATTGCACCATTGCACTCCAGCCTGGGCAACGAGGGCAAAACTCCAGATCAAAAGAAAAAAAAAAGTCATTTATATAAAAATGTGCAAAAAATATGTCCAAGGGAGAATGAACAGAAAAAGATGCCAGTGTTCTTCCCTAACTGGTATTTGGCAATCGCTGAGTTGAACATTTACAGGGCAGCTGCAGTGTGCCAGGCCCTAGGAGAATGGCACTGATCAGAAGTCTGCCCACAAGATGCTCACCATCTACGGGAAGCAACAGCACGGGGTGGGTGGGATGAGTGGGCATAGCCAGGCAACAGGAGCATGGGGCGGTGGGGCTGGTTCATAGCTGCGAGAAGATCCCGTGGACAAGCATACTGGGCAGAGACGCTGGGCAAGGTGTTGAGTATTTCCGCCTGCCCTGCGTGTGCAGGGGGAGGCCGTGTCAGAGACGGGAACATGCTGGACTCGGCAGGGCCTCTGAAGTCCTCCAAAGATGCATGGATCTAAGAGATGTGCAGGCCAATGAGAGAGGGATGGAGAGGCAGCAGTGGGCATAGGCCCAGTTTGAGTGCCAGAGGTGGGCAGTGCCACGTTCAAGGGCTGCAGAGTGAGTTACCCTAGGGCAGCTGTGCAGCCTTCCTCCCACAGCACACAGGTAAATGCACTGTCCAGGTGGGCCAGAAAGGCCTGAGTGGTTGTTCTGCACATCCTGGCCCGCTGACCAGGAGGGCAGGACCTAGGGATCTCAGAGGTACCAGAGACAACCCTCTGGCCAGAATAGGTCTAAGAGACTTTGTCCATTGTCCTCCAGAGGTGCTGGTCTTCCCAGGAACCTTGAGCATCCGGGGCAGAAGGACAGTGAGGCCTGAAGCTCTGAGACCCAGAACTGTAAGTCCTGCTGACAACAGAAAACTCCCAGGGGGAATGGCAGGTGGCCTCTCTCTCAGGTGCTGACTTTGACAAGTCCATGGTGCCTGGAACACTGTGATGGATCCTGGGGACACATCCAAGATCACTGGGAAAGAGGCAGGATTGACTGCTGATGTGGGCCATGGCCGAGGGGTATAGACCAGTGCAGGAGTTTGCAGTTCTGAGGCCTCTTGAGACCAAAGGTGACTGATGACCCTGCAAATGGACTGGCCTTTCAGGGGACCACCACAGTGCCTGCACTGGCCTGGTGGTGTGGGGCTCCCAGGCAGCCAGTGGGGGCCTTTTCTAGTGTCCAACCTGCAACAGAGAAGTGACTGCGCCCTGGGGCTGAGTGCGGTGGGTGGGTGGAGGGACTGGAACTACAGCTTGAGGGCAGACCCACTGCAGAGCTCGGGCTCCAGTCTCTGCTCCAGTCACGGAAGTTCCCGTCTGTGTGCGTGCAGGGAGCAGAGGCCTTCCACGCAGGCCCCAGCTAGCAGCAGCCCAGGCTGGAGGACCTCTTGCTTTCCTGGGTCTCAGGTGGACTCCCTTCCATTCCTATAAGGAGGTGAGAAGTAATTCAGCATCAACCAAGAATCCTGTAGCTGACACTGGGCAGGGGATGCCGGCCCTGAGAGTCAGAGCTGTGAGCTGAAGCTCCTGGCCCTGTTGTTCAAGGCCTGAATGACTTGACACAGGCCAAGAGGCTGAGGGGCATTCCAGGCACTGGAACAGAGTGGGCAAAGTTGCAGACTGGGAGAGCCGGGGCCAGGACACATCTGCAGGGCCTGGGATGCCCAGCCTGGGCCATGAGAACCAAATGGATGCCCATGAGGTCCATGTGTCAGGAGAACAGGGAGGGCTAGGGAGGGGCTCTCACCTGGCAGGTGGGATCAGAGAGGCTACAGGTCCGAGGCTGCAGTGACACCCTGAGAGGAGGGTCAAGGGATAGGAGAGGGCCACAAGTTCAGGAAATGGCAGGGTCTCGGGTGACAGGAGGATGGTGCATGTGGATTTTAGGCCTCCAGTCTGCTCCCCAGCCCAACCCAGCCACATCTATACGCACGGATTAGTTCTCCATCGCCGACCTGGAGCCGGGCACTGCTCCGCCGCTCCAGGTCCTGCAGCACCGACTGCTCGAATGCCAGGGCGGCTACACGGCTGAAGAATGCCTTCACGTTCTCGCCTGTGGGCTCACAAGACAGCCAGGGCCTCATCAGTGTTTGTCCTTGCCCCTTAATGCATCTGGGTGTGAAAGCCAGGCCAGCCCACCTTCAGGTTGGCACGTAGCCCTTTCTAGAGCACCCTGACAGTAACAGTGACCACGGGAGGGCAGAGCCCTACCCAGTCACGTGGGCAGCACAGTGCCAGGGGCAGGGTCCACTGGCCTAGCTTCCCACCTGGCTCCAGCCTCCCTACTCCCACCCCACTGCCTGCTTGGGCCACTCCCTCAAACTTCTGAGCCTTTGCTTCCCAGCATCTCCTCTTCCAATCACATGCTAATATGGCCCAGGTGTTGGAACATGTGGAACTCAGGAGAGACATATGCCTGCCCTCCTGTCACTTTCCATACCTGTCCGGTGGGGCTGTGAGGATTGAATTGCTGTCAGCCCCCACACGGAGCCTTTATGCATCCTCCTCCAGGTAGAGGTGGCTGCCCATCAGAGAGCAGGCCAGTTTCCAGCCCTTAACATGCACACTGCCCTTGTGCAGCCAGCAACCTGCACAACCACACAGGGCAGTCCTGCTTTGCCCATAGTGAGCTGTTGGTGAACTTACTGTTACTCTGATAAAGGAGGGAGGGTTCTCACAGAGCAGTTGGCACTGTCGGGAAGGAGCAGTGGAAGGCACTGCCAGTTGTTTGTGTTGGGTGGGAAGTGGTGCTTCTACTTGTGACACCAACCCTCAGTGCTCACCCAGTCTCCGACTAGATATCTGCTGTCCCCTCTTACACAGGGTAAAGACTACTGGGCCCAATTCCTGAGTCCCTAGAGCCTTGGGGGCCTATTATGTGCCAGGCCCTGAGTATGACTTCATTTCATCCCCCAACAACCTGTGTTTTCCGTCTGCTCTTCGTGTCTTTGGATTTTGTTTTCCTCAGTAAATACACATGGCTTTTGTAATTTAAAACGTATTTTCACAAAAAAGGGAGATGGATGGCATCACCTGCTTCCCAGATGAGGAGATGGAGGTTCAAAGATGCTGGGCATCTTGCCTTGGACTGGGGGCCCAGTATGGCCAGGGACAGACCCGGTGGGAAGTGGGTTCAGTGAGAGCTGGGGTCTGTGAGCCACAGTGATACTGGAAGGGGTGGAGCCCCTGTCACTGGGCCCTTCTCTATGCCAGATGATGTCACATGCCTGGCATTTCAGGGCCAGAGGCGGGACAGTGCAGTGGTTACAGGTGAGAGTGTGTTTGGATCCTGGCCCTGCCACCCTGTGACCCTGGAAGTTACTTCACAGGCATAAAATGGAACCTGCCTCATGAGTAGTTATGGGGTTGCCTTGGAGAACGGGCCAGCACAGCAAGACACAGGGTTGGAGTCACTATTCCCCCATCTGTGGGGCAGGCCTCCCAGCCTCCTTCTAGAGATGAGGCAGCTCCTCTTAGTCAATGCAAGACGATGCCAGGCACCAGCACAGCAGGGCTGTGATGCCAGTGTGCACAGGGCCACAGAGGGAACAGACGGCTGGCTGCAGAGGGAAATGCTGCATGGCAGGCCCCATGGGACTGGCCCGAGAGCTGGGCTCTGCCCCACCATGCTGACAGCCCCAGCCCACTCACCGGTCTTGGCCGACACCGACCAGTACTCGGCCTGCATCTCCTTGGCCAGGTGCACGGCCTCTGCTTCGACCTGCTCACATGCCGCTCCTGACTGAGAGAAACAGCCCTCGTTGACCCAGCATCCCGGGCTCTCTTGCAGGGAGGCCCCGGGGGATAGGCCGCTGCCTGCTTCCCACTGTGCCGCCTCCCTCCCCTGCCACGGCTCCTCCAATGAGGGCTGAAAGGGAAGGCATTTTCCCAAGGGCCACCCAGACCTCCAGTGCCACTCTGCTCACCAGAAGGTCCTTCTTGGTTCCCACGAGGAAGATGAAGCAGGAGCCTGCCTCGTTCTCCCTCAGAGCATCTTCCAGCCACTGCCTGGAGTGCAAGGGGGAGAGGCTGAGAGATTCACCCATCCTCCCACTTCAAACAGGGGGCAGAGAGCACACTTAGGACCTCCCCAGGGCTGGGGTGCTGGGCTGGGAGGGACAAGGAGGGCTTCCTGGCCCACACTGGCTGAGAGGATGCTGCACCTCCAGCCAGAAGGGCCTTAGCTGGACCCAAAGGGGTGGGAATACCAGAGCCCTGGCTGGAGGTGGTGAAGACCCCTCCTGGCCCCCCTCTGGCCTCTCCCAGTGAGACCCTGCATGAGTCCTGCACGTTTATCAACTAGAACTGTCACCCCCGCCTCCCTCACGGGGTTTGGAAGATGCTGGGTGCAAATGCCCCAGACCAAGGTAAGGCGAGAGGGCTGTGCTCCAGTAGCTGCCCAATTCCTAGCAGAAGTAGATGGCTTCTTGAATGGGTCACATTGCCAATTCTCTCTTCTCGAGACTGCAAGTGCCAAATTCATGTCCCTTCAAAGACTGGCTATACAGTTTTCAGGGCCCAGAGTGAACTGAACATGTGAGGCACCTCATTCAAAAAGTATCAGGACTTGCAACACGGCAAAGGCAGAGTATTGAAGCAGGCTGGGGCCCCTCTAAGCATGCGCCTGGGGCGGCTGTGCTGGGCTCACACTCATGTGCTGACCCCTCCAGAATAAATGGGGACAAATCTCTAGGGTTAAAGGCAGCTGGACAGTAAGTGGCCTGTGGGCAGCTGGTTCTGACAAGGGGCCCGGTCACTCACACCCATCATGGGGTCAGGGTCCACTGGCCGGGCTCTGGGAGCCCTTCCAGGTAGCTTCCTGAGCCCAGGGAGACTGCAGGGGCCACAGAGCCCAGACTTACCTGGTGTGCTCCAGGGTCTTTACGTCAGTGAGGTCAAAGGCCGTGATGATCACTGGACACCCAGAAAAAGCCAACAGCCAATCAGTGCCAGGTGAGGCGGGCAAGGGGGCTCCCCAGGAGGTGCCCAGCTCCCAAGGAACTGCCAGGGCAGCCCCCCAGGCACTCAGCACCGGAACCTCCTACAGTGAAGGCTGAGGAGGAGATACCCCATGGCTGTCCCCACCAGGACCCTCCAGCCTGCACCCGGAAGCCCAGCCTCAGTGTGGGATCCAGGGAGGCAGGACACGGTGGGCATGGAGCGAGCGCATGGGCTTTAGCGTCAGACACCCTCTGCCACTTACGGCGAAGGGAGCTCAGGTGAGGGCCTTAACTGCTGAGAGCCTCAGTTTCGCCATCTGTAAAATGGTGAGGATGAGACCTCTAGCTCTCAGGGTTGCTGTGAGGATTAAACAAGAGCAGCCATTTTAAAAAGCTGTTAGTCCAGGGCCCGACACAGGGCCAACTTTCAACCAATGGCAGCTACAGCAGTGATGCTTTGCAATAACCCACTTTAGCGAAACAACTTCCAGGGAACCAGGTGGGCAGAAAACCGGGAGATGCAGCCCAGGCCCTCAGCTCCTCTCATCACTAGCCGTACCCCGGTCCTGTTGGGGTCCTGAGGGGACCCCCATGTGGAGGACATTACAGGCAAATGTTCTCTACTGCCCCCAGGGGTGTGACCAGGGCCGGACAGGGGCTTCCTCTGCACCTTGGCTTAAGGCTTCAGGGAGACCCACACCCCTTCCAAGGCAGATGGGAAGAGAAAGGAAGGGGAAAACTGAGGATAGGGATGACAGCAGCCAGGCTGCCATGTGTAGAGGTGGGCCGGGCGCCTCACACCTCTTATTCCAGGGGAATTCCAGGGGACCAGGGGAGAAGCATCCTGTCGAGAAGAGAGGCCCGAAGAGGCAAAGGGCGCAGGAGGCCATGCAGCCAGGGCAGAGCTGGAGCTCCAACCCACAGCTGAGGGCTGCATGGTTTGTTCCTATTTTTGCTTCTTTTAAGTCTAAAATAAAATGTTGTAACTTTTTCACCACTACCGAGTAGACATAACGGTGCCTTATAATTTGAGTCTGGTTTTGGATACTTTTGAGGTTCTCTCACATCTCCCACTGAAATCCATTTCTGTCTTCTTCCTGGGAAGGTGGGGTAGGCGATAGGAGCTTATGCTGCCGCCCCCTGCTGACGGTGAGCCCTGCCCAGCACCACCTGGCTGCCCTTGGCCATGGAAGTGGTGGGCACCCAGCTCTGCTGGCCCCCACGTGGGACCTGCCAGTCCTCCCGAGGTCCCCCTTTCACACCTCCTCCCTGGCCCAGCCCCCTCTGCTAAGACAAGACAAGCCTCCTCCCACCTGCCCCTGGAGTCCAGTGCTGCCCTTCTCTGAGCCTCTGGAAAAGCACTTTCATCTCTGACCATCTTTATGAGCTGAAACTGGGGCTGAGACTTAAAGCCAGCACCCACTATCACAGGGTCCTTAAAGGGTGTGATCGCCAAGGTCAGCCAGGGCCTGGGGATGAAGGCAGCTTCCCTGTTCCCAAGTAGTGGCCTAGGGGTTTTCTCAGTGGGTCTCGGAGGATGGAAAACGGGTGCCTGTGCAGAGAACTTGGGATTCCCACTGTGGAGCCTGGCAGAGACCCCACTGCTGCACGCGGTCAAGAGCCCCGACGTGGCATGTTGCTCACCCTGGGCGCCCCGGTAGTAGGCAGATGCGATACACTTGAACTTCTCCTGCCCAGCTGTGTCCCAGCTGTGAGGTGGGTGAGAAAGAAAGGGAAATGATGTCAGGTTACACAATCACAGTGTCTTGAGCCAACAGATTACGGGACCATGGGAGGGAGACCCTAAGGGCCTCTGCCAGCTGCATGGGCTTCAGGAAGTGCCTGTTGTGAGCCAGCTGTCCCTACCCTCAGCTCCTTATGATCCCTTCCTAGGGTGCCCCCAGTGGACTTCTCTCATTCCTAGTGGAGTGGGGTATGGCATTAGTTGTTCTGCTGCCTGGATGGATGGAGTTGCAGCTCACTCCCTTCTGAATGAGACATTAAAATGGAACATATGGCCCAAGACATGCCTCACTCTGAAGATGTAGCAGTCCACTTGTAGAGAAGGCTCTGTGAATGGCACTGGGGCTCCAGGCTGGGCCTCCAGCAGTGGCTCTGCCACTTGCTTGGGTGTGACTGGGGCATTGCTTCACCTTCCACACTGTAGGTCCCAAAGTAGGGGTTGGGGATACCTAACAGGGGAGCAACAGGTGGGTCTCAGCAGTTAGCTCCAGCTCTTTGGAGCACAGTAGTGAGAATAAATTAGAAGCTAAGCCCTGGCTCCATGGAAAGGAGTACAACAGTCGATTAATGATGTCTGCCATGGGCACAGTCTAGAAGAGGGGAAAGAGCACCTACTGAGATCTACCCGCCCTGGTTTAGAACAAAGCAGGGAGTCACTATGCAGGGCTGAGTCTGAAAATTCTTCCCCAATTCATCGCTTTTTAAGGTCAACAGATCAAAATTGAACTTTTCTCAATAAACTGCAAAGTAGACAAATCACAAACAAGACATCAATGGTCTGAATTTTTTTTCTTTTCTTTCTTTTTTTTTTTTTTTTTTGAGGTGGAGTTTCACTCTTGTTACCCAGGCTAGAGTAAAATGGCGTGATCTTGGCTCACTGCAACCTCCGCCTCCCAGGTTCAAGCAATTCTCTTGCCTCAGCCTCCCAGGTAGCTGGGATTACAGGCATGGACCACCATGCCTGGCTAATTTTGTATTTTTAGTAGAGATGAGGTTTCTCCATGTTGGTCAGGCTGGTCTCAAACTCCAGACCACCTTGGCCTCCCAAAGTGCTGGGATTACAGGTATGAGCCACCATGCCTGGCCATGGTCTGAATTTTTTTCAAGTGATCCATCATGACACTGAAGGTTTGGGCTTCATTCTTTCATTAATTCTTTCATATTTTCTTTCATTTCTGAAGACTCTGGGGGAGGAGCTGGTGGTGGTGGCCTAGAGATGAGCCCATGGGGAGGCTGGCGAAGGCCTCAATGTAAGACAATGAGAGGCTGAGTCAGGACAGTGTCTCTGTTTTGTTCAGGGCCCTCTAATGAGATACGGCCTGTGGTCACATGGGTGAGCCCAGCCCCTAGCCAGTCTTTCCCAACTCCGCCTGGGCTACCCCTTCCAGCCCTTTGCTCTTCTCAGCTCTCTGGATCCCTCAGTCCTGCAGCCTTGCGTTCTCCCAGCCTCCTTTGCTCTTGACTGACCTGTACTCTCCCTTGGGCGAGATCTGTTATCCTCCATCTCCAGGGCTTTGCTGGGGCTGTGGAAGTTCTGAGAGAAGGGGGCACTATCTTGACAGAGTTAGGAGCTGACATCCACAGGATCTGAAGGCTCAGTCCAGGCAGGGCATGGAGGATTGAGGAACCAACTCAGGCACCAGGAAGGAGCTTGGGGAATGCCAGCAGGCAAGTGGAGATGGGGGGCAGGGCCAGCCATGTAGGGGAACATGGAAGGGTCTCACAGGAGAGTAGAGGTGAGGGCCCGGGCCCAGGCAGGCCTGTAGCATTCTCCAGGTGCTGGGGCAGAGGGAAGGTGCCCAGCTGGGGTGGGAGAGGGTAAGCCCTGGGCCACTCAGAAGGAAGGCAGAGGAAAGGGCTGAGGCCAGTGGGGGCCATCGCGAGTCAGACTCCCAGGGCCTAGCAAGGAAGACAAACAGAAGTGGGCTGGGCATGGTGGCTCACACCTGTAATCCCAGCACTTTGGGAGGCTGAAGCGGGTGGATCACTTGAGGTCAGGAGTTTGAGATCAGTCTAGCCAACATGGTGAAACCCTGTCTCTACTGAAAATACAAAAACAAAATAGTTGGGTGTGGGGGTGCACAACTGTAGTCCTACTTGGGAGGCTGAGGCAGGAGAATCGCTTGAAGTGGAGGTGGCAATGAGCCGAGATTGCGCTACTGCACTCCAGCCGGGGTAACAGTGCAAGACTCTATCTCAAAAAAAAAAGACAGAAGTGGAAGGAAAGCAAGGCAGGGGAGAGGGAGTGAAGGCTTCCGTGTGAGGAAGAAGACGAGTGCCTCAGACCTGAGGAAGGATGTGGTGCTGTGGACTCCATCTCAGCCCTCCTTGCCCAAGCCTGGCACGCAGGGACTGGATTTGACCCCATTTTACAGGTGGGAACAGAGGCTCAGAGCTCAGAAGTGACCTGCTGGAGGCCACTCTGCTGGCCTGGTGAGTGGGATCACAGGAGGCCCAGGTCAGGGAGGGACTGGAGCCAGGGCCTCGAGAGGAGCAGGGTGGGGATTGGGGAGGTCATGGGCAGGTGAGCAGGTCAGGCTGTGGGCATCTTCCCCAGAGCCAATGACCAAAATGAGACAACTTTGGGACTGATGGAGCATCTGGGGGTTCTGGGAGCTGGGAAGCTGAGTGTCAGACAACACCCCCAGGCTCTGCTTGTCTAGACCAGTCCTCCTTGACATGGACACAGCGCAGGAGCTCCCCAACTCCTTTCTCAGGTGCCCCTAGGAAGCCGCCCATGAGTCATGGGGGAAACAGAGACTTACATCTGGAGGCTATAGGGAATTCCAGCAATCTCAAAGCGCTCAATTTCAAAGTCCACCCCAATGGTGGCCTTGTAGTCTCGGTCAAAAACGTTCTTGCAAAACCTGTGGGAGATAAAGAAGTTGTCACAGGGGATGTACTCACAGAAATGTGCCCGGAAGCTTCACTTGTGACAGTGAAGGTCTTTAGGCAAATAAGGTCCACTTTCCATCAGGAAGTGATGGTCCACACAGACCACAGGTGGGCAGGGCAGCCAGCAAGGACAAGGTGGGGAAAGGGAGGCTGCAGGAGCTCGGAAGGCAAGCTGCGAGTTAGAAACTGAGTGAAACTGAGCAGCCATTTGCGGGGAGGGCAGTAGAGGGGAGAGCCCTGGCCCCAGGGGGACAGTCTGACAAGCGCCAGGTTCCTGGGATGCCACAATGTCTGCCTAGCCCTGCCATCTCCCCGATTTCTTGTACCCCCTCTTATCTGGCTCCCAGTAGGTTGAGGCCCAGCAGTTCCTGGAAACCACATGGTTTCCACTATGTTGATACTATCTGGGCCACCCAGGCAAAGGTATGACAACCTAGTGCTGAGGGAGGTGGCGGACGGGGCAGAGGAAGCCTTGTACCTGTGGATGAGGCTGGTCTTCCCCACGTAGAGATCGCCAACCACCACCACCTTGGAGAGTTTGAGCCTGTGAGAAATATGGCCGTGTTGCCCTCGGGCATGCCTTCCGGGGTACACTCACAGCCCCTTCCTTCCTTGAGCTCTCTGCTGGTGAGACACCCCTCACTCCTGGACACAGGATGGGCCACCCTGCCAAAACACTGTGTTCTCCTTCCACAGTACCAGAGGGGAGACGGGAGAGGCTGGGGACTCTGCTGCCCCTAGACCTGCACCTCTCACCACATTTGGTCAAAGTCCCCATCCTGAGAATTAGGAATGGGCATAACAAAAGGCCAAGTCACAGGAGGAGGGGGCAGAGGCAGGGGGCCAGGGTGTGGCTGTGGTAACCAACCAGTAGCCATGGGCATGTCTATGCTGTGGGGGAGCTGTGCTGGGGTGCAGACACATGGTCCATGTGCAGGGAGACCCCAGCACAAGGGACGGGCAGCCCCTCACCCTCCTATGCACCCCCTGGGGTTGTGCACCCGTGTGGGTTCTGGCCTCTTGCAAGCAGGCACTCCCTGACCATGACACCACCGTGCCCTGCTCACTTAGAGGTATCTGTAAGGGTCAGACAGGCCAAGGGGCACACCCTGAACAGGACTCAGGCTCTATACATCTGGGCTGTGGCTTGAGGCGAATCGGCTCTGAGGTTCTTGGGCTCTCTGGGGGTCACGGCTCCCCAAGAGCAGCCGCCACCCTCACCCTTTGTGTGTGTACTACACTGTGCAGAGGCGTTTCTCGGGCTATTTATTATTTTTTTAGAGACGGGGTCTCACTGTGTTGCCCAGGCTAATCTCAAACTCCTGGGCTTGAGTGATCCTCCCACCTCAACCTCCTGAGTAACTGGGACTACAGGTACCACTGTTCCAGCTTCCCAGGACTATTGACAACACCTTAGAGTTTTTACAGCTCATCCCAAAGGAGGCAAACGGTCACAGCAACCAACCTGGGTAAATATCTGACAGGCACTTCCTCTGCCTGCAGACAGCAAGAGGGAACCACTGTGTCACCTGGTGACCTGGGCTGCAGGTCACCTCGCCAGGTCCATGAGAGCAGGGACTGTGTCTACCCTGCTCCCAGAGGGCCCTTTCGTTCTGACTCCATTTCTCCTATGAATGAGTAAAGGTATTGACAAGGTCTTGCAGCAGGTACCCTCTGATCCTCAGTCTCCCCACCTCCAGTGCTGCCATAAGGGGTCAGGGAGATCATTTGCGTGAAGCACCTGATATGGCACCAGCATTCCCCAACAGATGCCGTTACTCTCATTCCACCACCATGGCCACCTTGGCCATTCTGATCTCAGCTCTGCCTCACCCACTCTGCAGTTTGGTAACCTCTAGCTGTGCTCTGTGGCAGCCTCATCACACCTGTGTGACCCCTGTGAGCTCAGCCAACTCCCTGAGCAGACTATGAGCTCCTAAGGAAGAGGGGCAAAAGCAGGCCCTTGTACCTATCTGTTAAAAGAAGGAATGACTATTTCACAATCCCTGTGCCGGTGGTGGCAGGTGCTGCCACGGCAGGAACAGGGCAGACACAGCCCTCGCCCTCTTGGGCTAGGTCCAGTGAGGAATCTAGCCTGCAATTCTGTGAGATATGTTCTTGGGGGCACAAGAGCACCCAGGAAGGGTACTCTCCCCAGTCCAGGCTTGGGGGTAAGGGTAGTGGGAGGTCAGAGAAGCCTCCTAGAGGACTTGACACTTATGCTGAGACCTGAAGGGGAAGGGGAAGGGGAAGTGAGGGGATTAGGAAAGACATTTCAGACAGAGGAAATGGACTTGTGCCAAGACCTCAGGCTGAAAAATCACCTGCGTGACTTAGAAGAGGGAAAGTTGTTCCATGTGGCAGGTGTGTTAACTGAAGCCAGATGAAAACCCCAGTCATCTTCAGGCCTATACAGGGCTGCACCAGCCTCGCGTGTGTGTTTCACTTGCTCATTCTTTCACACGTGCATTCATGCACTCATTCCTTCCTGCCACCTGCTCCCCCATCCCACACCCTGCAGGCTCACCCGACAGTCCCCGTGTTTCTGCGTTGGCAGGCAGCGCTGACCTGCCTGTGGAAGTGCTCCCTGAGCTGCAAACAGGCTTCTGGCGTGTACCACTGCAAAGAGACAGACAGACACATCATCCTGCAAAGCTGCGGCTCCTTCCCCGTAGCGAAGCAGTGAGGGGAGACGGTCTTCCCAGCCTTCCTTCCTCACAGCTGGCAGCCTCATTAGCTTTCCCTAACCCACCTGTCGTGTATATCCTCTATTTCTTCAGCCTTGAGGCTCTGGGGCCTTGTGAGTCCAGAGGGGCGAGCCCAGGCAGAGACTCGGAGATCTGGGTCTCACCTGGGGTCGTGGTCCCCCTGCTGCATGCATGTGACAGGCCTCTGTCTGCTCTGGGCCTCAACCCTCTCAAGTGGAAAGGAGTGGAGCTCTTTTGGTACCCAGATCCTCCAAGATCCAATTAGCCAGGTGCAGGAGTGAATGCCTGTGGTCCTAGATACTGAGGAGGCTGAGGTGGAAGGATCGCTTCAGCTCAAGAGATAGAGGCTGCAGTGAGCTATGATCATGCCACTGCACTCCAGCTTGGGTGAGAGAGTGAGACCCTGTCTCTAATCCATACCTTCCATGAATCTCTGATGACATTTTGTTTTAAAAACGTGCATACATGTGCCTGGAAAATGTCCTAGAAGGTGCTTTCTGTTGTCCACATTTCTTGAAAGGCAGACCTGAGCAGTGGTTTAAAAGCATGGGCCTCAGGGTCAGAAAAAACTGCATATACCCCAGCCACCCTCACCTGGTGTGTAATTAGAAAAAAATGAGATTAAACAAATTAAAGATGACCATTATTTTTTTGCCATTGGATTGGCCAAGGCTAAATACAAAATGTGGCAAGGATGTGCGGAGAAGGACACCGTTGAGGCTGTTGGTGTGATCTGTGTATGGCAATGGTCCCGCCCCCCGCCCCCTACCCCTGCACAGTCACAGCCACCTGCTCTGTCCTTCTGGATGCTGCTTGGATCCACAGCTCCCCTCCCCCAGCCCCAGTGTCTTGGCCATCGATTCGGGCTCTGCCTGGCCCATCTGCCCTCTCAGTGATTGAGGCAGCAGTGATGGTGAAAGGAGATTAGCAAAGGGCAAGTTACAGAACCTTATTGAGCTCCAGTTTCCTCAAATGTTAAACAGGGATGCTCATAATAGCACCTTTTCATGTGGTCTTTGGAGGAGTAACTGAATAATGCAGGTGAGCAGCTTAGCCCAATAGTCTGCTTTTCTGCAGAAGAGTGGCAGCTACCATGAACAAGCTGGCTGCTTCTTTCTGTCAGCTTCCATGACGGCTTTAAGCTGGGGACTGGCCCAGACACAATGGTCATTACAGGATGACTGGAAGACTATGGTAATGAAGGCTGCAGAGTAAGAAGTGTCAGCTGATTTCAGAGACAGGGAAACTGAGGCACATGGAGTAAAGGGAAGGACTTGCCTGGCAAGCAGTCTGAGGACCCTGCACAACCTGGCTGTGAATTTCTCAGGGCCCTGGGGTGCAGGATGAACTTGGCCAGCAGTGGCCTTGATCCCTGACTATTATGGACAAGAGGGGAGAATGCCACCTGTGAAACCAGGACAGATTCCCTAGACTGCTTCCCTGGGGTAGGGAGCTCTGGAGCCAGACACAGCCAGGTCAAATCCCAGAGGTACCAGGCACAGCTGTGTGATGTCAGGCAACCCTGCTTAACTCTGATCCTCACCATCTGCTCTGCCAATGGGTTCTTCATGTCATGATACCTGGAGTGTTTTGTGCCAATCACACTTTCCTTCATTTTGACTCAAGAAAGACCAGTCTCTGTCATCCCTAGTTACCACTGTCAAGCTCTGCAGAGAAAACAATTGCCTGAGCCTCTGTTGAGATGGAAAACCCATGGGGAATTGTCTACGGGTCTGAGACACAAAGGCTTTCCCTGTAGGTGTGTGAAGAAGGAACTTAGGGAGGAAGGTAAAGAAGGGGGAAGGAGGAATGGCCACATACTCCAAATACCCAGGACCTATCTAGAGTCACCTCCTTCTCACCAGCCTGGCCACAGAATCCAAGATGCAAAAGGCCATTCCATGGAGAGGATCTCTCCCCCTGCACCTGTCCTAAGCCACAGATGCAATCACTGAGAGTAGGGGCTTATCTATCCTTCCAGAAATATTCTCTGCATATATAAACAAACAGACATTTCTCCCTATCCTTGTTTTCACACACAGGAGTGTGCTGCACACACTCTACTGCACACTGTTCCACACCCTGAATTTTTACTTAACGGTTTACTTTGGCTCTCGTTGCATGTCAGCTCCTGAAAAGGTTGCCTCATTCTTCCTCATGTCTGTGCCAGGATGTATTACTTGTTTAACCAGTCTCCTCTCTGAGCATATTTACGTTGTATCTGATCTTCTATTCTTACAAACTGCTCCAACCCAGGCCAGGCACGGTGGCTCACGCCTGTAATCTCAGCACTTTGGGAGGCTGAGGCGGGTGGATCACGAGGTCAGGAGATCGAGACCATCCTGGCTAACACAGTGAAACCCCGTCTCTACTAAAAATGCAAAAAATTAGTCAGGCGCGGCAGTGGGCGCCTGTAGTCCCAGCTACTTGGGAGGCTGAGGCAGGAGAATGGCGTGAACCCGGGAGGCAGAGCTTGCAGTGAGCTGAGATTGCGCCACTGCATTCCAGCCTGGGCGACTGAGCGAGACTCCGTCTCAAAAAAAAAACAAAAATAAAAACAAAAACAAAAAAAAACAAACTGCTCCAACCCCTATCCTTATGCACATTGTAAACCCATGCCAGAATATCTGCCAAGTAAATTCCTAGAAATGGAATGGCAAGGCCAGTTGCAGTGGCTCACACCTGTAATCCCAGTGCTTTGAGAGGCCTGGGTGGGAGGATTGCTTGAGGCCAGGAGTTCAAGACCAACCTGGGCAACATAGCAAGACTTCGTCTCTATAAAAAAAATTAAAAATTAGCCAGGCATGGTAGCACATGCCTGTGGTCCTAGCTACTCAGGAGGCTGAGGCGGGAGGATTGCTTCAGCCCAGGAGGTAGAGGATTGAACTATGATGGCACCATTGTACTCCAGCCTGGGTGACAGCAAGACCTTCTCTCTAAAAAAAAAAAAGAAAGAAAGAAAAAAGAAACGGAATGGCTGGATCTCACAGGGCAGGGTCATCTGCCATATTGGTAAATATTGTCCACTGCCCCCTATGGAGGTTGTACTCAATTTGTATTCCCTGCTGCAATTAATATTGCATTTTAATACAGACACAAGAGAGCTGTGAGTTTGCAGCGGAAAACAGAGGCAGAATGGCAAGGGGAGAGAGAGCCCTGGATTTGGGGTCACGGAACTGGAATGCTGTTTTGATAATAACAATGATAATGACAACAACAGCAACCATGACTGCAGGGGAGCTCCTGCATACCGTGAGCCAGGCACCCAATATGAGAGGAATTACCTCCGTGTAACATGTAACAGTGGCTCTGAGAGGTTGATTAATTTGCCCATAGCCACACAGTTTTGCTTTTTTTTTTTTTTTTTTTTTGATATGGAATCTGGCTCTGTGGCCCAGGCTGGAGTGCAGTGGCGCGATCTCGGCTCACTGCAAGCTCTGCCTCCCAGGTTCACGCCATTCTCCTACCTCAGCCTCCCGAGTAGCTGGGACTACAGGCGCCTGCCACCGCGCCCGGCTAATTTTTTTTATTTTTTAGTAGAGACGGGGTTTCACTGTGTTAGCCAGGATGGTCTCGATCTCCTGACCTCGTGTTCCACCTGCCTCGGCCTCACAAAGTGCTGGGATTACAGGTGTGAGCCACCGCGCCCGGCCAAGCCACACAGTTTAATGACAGAATCAGAATGAAGGACTCACATAGAGGACTGTCTGGCTGCAAAATCCTAGCCCTTATAACCTCCAGGCCACATTGCTGCCCAGTGTCACCATCAACTTGCTACCCTGCCTTGGGCAGTCAATGGCCAGTCTCCCAGCTCCTCAAGGTAAATCTGGCAATGGACAGACCTCCTCGATTCACCTGCTTTACTTCCAGGCATGAGTGTAGAGTGGGGAGAGCTGATGTGGCTGCAGTGCCAGGAGAGCACTGCAGACATGATGACTCTCTACCTTAGGGAAGGTGGCGATGACACGGTCACGGCTCACGGGGGGCCCCAAAGGTGTCAGGGAGGACCTCATTCTTCCAGAGTCCTGTGGACCCAACCAGGAGAAAGACAGTTAAGGAGCTGTGCAAATACCTGGGGACTCACCCATGAGTTTTCATGTAACTTTTCATCAGATCCAGGCTGGGTGCAGTGGCTCATGCCTGTAATCCCAGCACTTTGGGAGGCCAAGGTGGGAGGATCACTTGGGCCCAGGAGGCTGAGACCAGTCTGGGCAACAAAGTGAGACTTCAGTCTCTAAAAAAAAAAAATAGCAGGGTGTGGTGGCCTGTGCCTGCAGTCACAGCTACCTGGGAGGAAGGTGGGAGGAATGCTTGAGCCTGGGAGGTCAAGGCTGCAATGAACTGTTAAGGTGCCACTGCACTCCAGCCTGGGTGATAGAGTAAGACCTTGTCTCAAGAATAATAAATCAAACCAGATCCAGGCCTCCCTCTCTGTCAGGAATACGGGGCAGAGGCCATTTCTCTCAATCTGCATACAGCAGGCAGCATGGTATGGAGGAACCAGGCCTGCCCCACCCTGCCTGGGAGTCAGAAGCCCTGGGTCTCCCCTTGACAGGTGTCTACCAAGGAGGAGCTCCCCTCTGAGCTTACCTTACTGGGCTGTGAGGCATGACACAGCTCAGGCAGTGGAAGTAGAGTCGGGAGGGGTCTCCTGCTCCTAGTCTGCAAAGGATGAAGGCTCTAGGTGGGCCTGGGGGCCCTAACTTTCAGCCAACTAGGCCTTTTCCCTGAAAGCCCTCACTTCACCAGGCCTCTGACTCTTCCAGCCTCCTCAACAGCCCTCTGTCTCCTTTCTCTCTCCGGGCTCCTCTCCCGGTTGCGCTTGGGTGTCCTTGGCGGAGTCCGGTTGTCCTCCCGCATCTGACCTGGCTCTCCTCCGCGACCAGCGCGTGCCTGGCCCAGAGCTTGCGCTCCGGAAATGAGGACGCCCCTGGGCCCTAGGCCGCTTTCAAGTTATAAGGGCGGGAAGTGGGCGCGGACGCGGAGCCCTCGCGGCCCTGGCCACGGGATGTGCCAGCACGGGCGTGGGTGACCGGGAGGGTCGGACAGAGTGGGCGAGCGGACTCACCACCGGTGGCTGCGAAAGCTGGGGCTCGGCGCTGCCTGGTCCGTCAGAGCCAGTGGCGGTGATCACCATGGCAACGAGAGCCGCGCGGGACCGGCGGGCTACACGAATCGCCGACGTCGTGGGCGGGGTCTGCGTTGGACTGACACGGCGCGTCCAAGCATCCAGCTTGCACCGGTGATCACCATAGCAACGAGAGCCGGCCTGGAGTCTGGGCGGGGCTTGCAGCAGAGAGACTCCCGGACACCCTGGAGAGCCAGAGATCACCAAGACAACAAGGGCGGTGCTGGATGGGTGGGCGGGGGGCGGGGCCGTGGCGGCCCGGGGGCGGAGCCTGGGCTCTGGCTGGCGCTGACAGTGGAGAGATTTGCGCCGGTTCTGGTGATCACCTCGGCTGGGAGGGGTGAAGCGGTCATGGCATAAGAGCTCCTGATGTAGTATTGATGTTTAATTGGAGTCAAGCACCCTGCAGCTGCAAGAGATAGACTTACCTACCATCTACTGACCTTAGTCTGCATAGATCCGAATCCAGTGTTGTCTGAATATTACATGCCTGGCTTCTAAAGCCCACGGTACCAAATTAATTTCCTTAATAAAAAGCTGACCTGAGTCAGTGATTCCCTCTGAACTAGTTTCGGTTTGGAAAGTTAGCTGTTTTGGGCTAGATGGCCTCTCGTGGCCCTTATAAAACCGTGGAACCAGCTTCTAAGTCTGGAGTTCAGTTTAAGAACATACTTCAGCTCCTTAACTTTTCTGCATCACAATATGGAATCCTTGGTAAACAGATTTAACTCAATCATCTTCAATTCAAAGCTAAGTGTGCTGGAGGCTGATGTTCGATGTCTTTTTTTTTTTTTAAGAGATGGAGTCTTGCTATGTTGCCCAGGCTGGACTCAAACTCCGAGGCTCAAGGAATCCTCCCGCCTCAGCCTCCCCAGTCCTTGGGACGACAGGCAAGGGCCACCACACCTGGCTCTGTTTAATGTCTTTTAGTGAGTGTCACTGCTAAGGTTGAGGCTTAGGGAGTGAACTTAGGTGAGTTGTTCTACCTTCCGCACCTCAGTTTACTCAACTATAAAATAAACGCAACTATCTATTTCAACGGATCACATGAGATGGTGAAAGTGCTTTTATATTGTAAAGCTTGATTCAAGTCCATTAATCATTCATTCACATACTGAAAGCTTCCTGGTATATGCCTAGCACTGGGGAGACAAGGAAACAGAACGGACATGGTGTCCACCCTCAGGGAAATCGGAGTCCGCTGCGGGAAGCAGAGAAGTAAATAGAGAATTAGGGGGAGTGTGCCAATGGGATTTATCAGAAGGGAAGGTTAAGCTGTGGGATCACTTAGTAATTTGGATTTGGGGATTTGACAGGAGCTAGAGATCACCTTGAACCCCTCCTTCAGCTTTTTTTTTTTTTTTTTTTTTTTTTTTTTTGAGATGGAGTCTCACTCTGTCAGCCAGGCTAGAGTGCAGTGGCGTGATCTTGGCTCACTGCAATCTCCGCCTCCCGGCTCAAGCGATTCTCCTGCCTCAGCCTCCCGAGTAGCTGGGACCACAGGTGCACACCAACCATGCTTGGCTAATTTTTAAATTTTTTTTGGTAGAGACAGGGTTTTGCCATGTGTGCCAAGCTGGTTTCGAACTCCTGGCCTCATGTGAGCTGCCCGCCTTGGCTTCCCAAGGTGTTGGGATTACAGGCGTAAGCCACCGCACCTGGCCCCGGCCCTCCTTTAGCTCTTAAGTGGGCTCTTTGCTTAGATCTAGAAACCAAATTGTCACCAGGCAGATTAGCAAGAGAAAAGCATACAAATGTTATTAGTTTTACATGCGCATGGGGATCTTTACCAGAGTGAAGTCTGGAGAAGTGGCCAAAGCAAGATGCTTTTATACTTTTTAGACAAAGGATGACAAATTTGAGAAGAAATGGCAGGACAAAGGGGATCTGGCTAGGGGCAGTAAATTCTAGGGGATTCACTAGGAGATAATATGAGGGGCATAAACCTAGTGGAAGACAGGGTTAAGTATATTTATTCAGGTCCATTGCAGTCCCCAATTTTTAGTCTCAGCTGATAAGGGCTATTTTCTTGCCCTGGTACAGCGAGGGTACCCCTCCTAGAGGAATCTTTATGGCTTGCTGAGTGCAGAAAGAAGCATATCTGTTTGCCTTTTCTTGTATCTTTTTTTAAAAATTATATTTATTTATTGATTGATTTTAGAGTTGAAGTCTCACTCTGTCACCCAGGCTGGGGTGCAGTAGGGTGATCGTATCTCACTGTAACCTCAAACTCTTTGGTTCAGGCAATTCTCCCCCTTCAGCCTCCCAAAGTGCTGGGATTACAGGTATGAGCCACTGCACCTGGCCCAGCTAGCTCTTTCTGAGGCTACTATTTTTCCAATGTTGTCAACTCAAAATGGTCAATATACCAATCCAGCATATTTTGGGATGGCGCATACTTCACTCCTTCAGGGAGAAGGAAGGTTTCATGGAAGAAGTGTTCACCAAGTTGCATCCTGAAGGACAAAGAGGTAATAATTAGTGTTACAGGGCGCTCAGGCTTCAGGAGTGAGGTGGCATTTGAGGGATTAAGAAAGAGTCTAGCATGGCTGGAGGAGGCCATCACCCAGGGACTTCAGCACTAGGCTAGGAGTTTGGACTCAGCACTGAGACCAGTGGGGAGCCATGGAGGGTTTTATGCAGGTGGTGGCTGGGTCTGGCTTGCTTTTGAGAACAGCTACACCGGCCAGCAGTGTGTTGGATCCACTGCAGGGGCTAACCTTTGTCATTACCAGGAGGTCAGCCTGCAGAGCAAGGGGCATGGGCAGGGCTAGGCAGTACTGAGATCAGGCCTGTGTAATTTGGGGGAAACTGGCTGAGCACAGTGGCTCACGCCTGTAATCTAGCATTTTGGGAGGCAGTGAGCCAAGGCGGGTGGATCACCTGAGGTCAGGAGTTCGAGACCAGCCTGGCCAATATGGCGAAACCCTGTCTCTACTAAAAATACAAAAATTAGCCGGGTGTGGTGGTGGGCGCCTATAATTCCAGCTACTTGGGAGGCTTAGGCAGGAGAATCACTTGCACCCGGGTTGGGGTAGTGCGTGGTGCGGAGTGGAGCGGAGGTTGCAGTCAAGATCGCGCCACTGCACTCCAGCCTGGGCGAAAGAGCGAAACTCCGTCAAAAAAAAAAAAAAAAAAAAAAAAAAATTGGAGAAACGACTGAACTGCTCTGAGCTTCTTGTCCCTAAACTAGATGTTACCACCTTATGAATTTACTCTGAGGATCAGAGTAAAAGTACCCAGTACAGAGAAGGGCGTAAGAATCCAGTACAGAGAAGGGCGTAAATAAGTCACTTCCCTTCCCTTCTGTACTTTGAACAAAGCTGAGCTGCCTTTGGTCCGCACGGTAACCCTATAAATGATCCAGCTTTGCAGCCGGCCGCAGCCTTGGGCTGTTTGCGCCTGCGCAGTGGGCGCTGAGTATGTAGACAGCGGCGCTGGGGACGCTACCGGAGTCGCCTGGCAACGATGTCGCCTGGCAACTGAATAGGTTGGCCACTGGCACGCGCTACTGGAAGCAGAAAGGGCTGCGGAGGCAGGTGAGGCGACGGCGGTGGGCTAGGGGCCCGGGGACGGGGAGCCCAGTGACCCACCCAGTTCCATTCACACAGGGCCCTGTCCCCACACTCAAAATCACGCACTTTCGTCTCCGGCCGGACTCTCCCAGCCCACGCCCCTTAGAAGAGGGCAGGCCTCTATGTCTCCAGCGCTCACTGTTCCTGCGAGGGGAGCTCAACTCAAACATGGCCACGTCCCTCCCAGCCTGGCCCCTACTTCTACTGTTGTCATCTGGTGTCCCGCGTGAGCATCTGGCTTACCTTTTACTGGAGTAGATTCCTACAGGCCTGGGGCCTGTCCATTCTACTAACCATGATAACAACCATAGTAATAACCACAGCCAACATATCTGAGCCCTGGTATGCCAGGCTTACGTGTATTCGTTAATAGGACAATTCTGGGAGGCAGGGAAGGAGGTATGTACCCCTTTGAAGCTGCAGAAAGACACAGATAGAGGAAGAAACTTGCCAAGGGTCACCCATGTCCTGAATCTGGAGCCAGTTCTTAACTACTAACCTACACTACCCATAGTTGCTGAAAGAGTGTGTGTGTGTGTCTGTAATAAAAGTAAGTCACCTTTTTTTAAAATTTTATTTTTATTTTTATTTTTATTTTTTTTGAGACGGAGTCTTGCTTTGTTGCCAGGCTGGAGTGCAGTGGTGCGATCTTGGCTCACTGGAACCTCCCCCTCCCAGGTTCAAGCAATTCTCCTGCCTCAGCCTCTTGAGTAGCTGGGACTACAGGCACCTGCCACCATGCCCAGCTGATTTTTGTATTTTTAGTAGAGACGGGGTTTCACCATGTTGACCAGGATGGTCTCGATCTCTTAACCTTGTGATCCGCCCACCTTGGGCCTCCTAAAGTGTTGGGATTACAGGCGTGAGCCCCCGTGCCTGGCCATAAATCACCTTTTTTTAATTTTATTTTATTTTTATTTTTATTTATTTATTTTTTTGAGACGGAGTCTCGCTCTGTCGCCCAGGCTGGAGTGCAGTAGCGCAGTCTTGGCTCACTGCAACCTCCGCCTCCCGGGCTCATGCCATTCTCCTGCCTCAGTCTCCCGAGCAGCTGGGACTACAGGCGCCTATCGCCGCGCCCAGCTAGTTTTTTTGTATTTTTAGTAGAGACAGGGTTTCACCGTGTTTGCCAGGATGGTCTCGATCTCCTGACCTTGTGATCCGCTCGCCTCAGCCTCCCAAAGTGCTGGGATTACAGGCTTGAGCCACCGTGCCCGGCCCATAAATCACCTTTTAACATTAATTCCTTTTCATGGATGTGTCAGAAGCATCTGAATATGGGTTCCTTGCAGTGAATGAGCTAGACCCAGATTTCAACATTTGCTCCTAGTCTTACCACTTTCACAGCCTCCAGTAAGCTCCTTGGCCAGAACCTCAGTTTCCTCATTTGTAAAATATGGATAAAACAAGCCCCCTCCTTATGGGGTAGTTGAGTTGGGTACTACTTATTGCTGGCATAAGATAAGCACTAAACAGAGTGATCATCTTGGAATTTGCTTGTTTGGTTTGTTTTGTCCTTTAATGCCTTTGACTGAAGATCCAGATGAAAGTATCAGTGGTTTCTTCTGTGAAGCACTATTGTGTGGGGGGCCTCTGGAGTTTGCAGTTTGGGCTGCTACTTACCTTCACTGGGACTTTGAGCAAATCTCTTCATTGCTCTCAGCCTCAGTTTGCTCATCTGTAAAATGAAAGTAAAAGTATCCATTTGCCTGCCCTCACAGTTTGGAGGATCAGATGAGAAGTAGCTTTTAAATCATAGTAGAAATAGTGACAGCTTTTTGGTTTCTTTTAGTGAGTGGTTTCTGCAGAACTTCATTTGGAAAGGCCTCTGTCATTGGGGATAGATGGCCCATTCCCAGAACTCCATGGAGTTTCCTGTTAACATCAACACTACCCAGATTACCACTGCCTATGGCCATCGGGCCCTGCCCAAGCTGAAGGAGGAGCTGCAGTCAGAGGACCTCCAGACAAGGCAGAAAGCCCTCATGGCCCTGTGTGACCTCATGCATGACCCCGAGTGTATCTACAAGGCCATGAGCATAGGTGAGCGTGACACAGCTCAGGTGACCATGACTGGGGTCCTAGCATGGCTTCGGACACTGGGTAGAACTTCAGTAATAAGGGTTGCTATTGTTTGAACCTGACTCCAGGCCAGTTCCACTACAGACGCAGTGCCCAGGTTCTTTTTAAAAAATATTTGTTTATTGAGGCAGAGTCTTGCCATCTCCCAGGCTGGAGTGCAGTGGCAGAATCATAGCTCACTGTAACCTTGAAATCTTGGGCTCAAGAGATCCTCCTGCTTCAGCTTCCTGAGTAACTAGGACTACAAGCATGTACCACCATGCCTGACTAATTTTTAAAATTTTTTTAAATAAACAAGATCTTGCTATGTTGCCCAGGCTGTTCTTGAACTCTTGGCCTCAATTGATTCCCCCAGGTCAGCCTCCAAAGTTTTGGGGTTATAGGTGTGAGCCACCATACCCAGCCTGGATTATCTTAATCCTCAGAAAGGCCACCTACAAAGGAGAGTCCATTCTCAACCCAGAGACAAGAAAAGCATGGTTCAGAGAAGGATTGTAAGTCTAGGTTTGCCCAACAAATAAATAAAGCTGAATTTGTATTTATTTATTTATTATTATTTTTTGAGATGGAATCTCGCTCTGTTGCCCAGGCTGGAGTGCGATGGCACTATCATGGCTCACTGAAAGCTCTGCCTCTTGGGTTCAAGTGATTCTCCTGCCTCAGCCTCCTGAGTAGCTGGGACTACAGGCACCTGCCATCATGCCTGGCTAATTTTTGTATTTTTGTAGAGACGGGGTTTCACCGTATTGGCCAAGCTGGACTTGAGCTCCTGACCTCAGGTGATCTGCTTGCCTCAGCCTCCCAAAGTGCGGGGATTACAGGCATGAGCCACCATGCCCAGACAAAGCTGGATTTTTATTGGCTAAATCTGGCATCCCTAGGTGTAACCCACTCAAGGTCATGTGACTAGTTTGACACAGCGTTGTAATTTGACCCCATATCTCTCCTGGGGTCAAAGAAATGACAAAGCCCATTTTCTTAATCTCATGGCAGACTTTGTGAGAAGGCACTGGTAGGAAGTGTGCAGGGAGAATCACAAGGAGGGTTGGATGAGACATGAGCCTCTTCAGTGACTCTGAAATGCTACATAACCAACATGATTCCCCAGTGCCCCAAAGCAGCAGAACCTCTGGTACATTCCCACCCCAACTGGCCCACTTATTGACTTCTGGGTTAGTTGGTTTCTGAGACTGGCAAACATTCAAGGGTTTGTTTGTTTGTTTGTTGTAGGCTGTATGGAGAACCTGAAAGTTTTGCTGAAGGATAGCAACAGCATGGTGCGGATAAAGACCACTGAGGTGCTCTACATCACGGCGAGCCATAGCGTGGGCAGGTGGGATGCTGTTCTGGAAACCAGTGTGACGCTTGCCAGCCGCACTTCTCCCCTGGGTGGATGATGCCCTTGAGCTGCGTAGAGTGCTCTGGAGTTTTGTCTGCAGCACCAGTTTTTGGAGGGGCTTCTATTTAGCCAGAGCAGGACTCTGTGGGGTGGTTTGGGTTGCCTCTGTGTGGATCTTATGGGGCCCTCTGTTCCAGACCAATTTTTATTTGTTTTATGTTAGTTCCGAGCTCTGAGCACTCTCTCTCTCTCTGTCTCTCTCTCTTTCTTTTTCTTTTCTTTCTTTTTTGAGACAGTCTTTCACTCTGTCACCCAGGCTGGAGTACAGCGGCACCATCTCAGCTCACTGCAGCCTCTGCCTCTCCGGGTTCAAGCAATTCTTGTGCCTCAGCCTCCCGAGTAGCTGGGACTACAGGCGTGTGTCATCACGTTCAGCTAATTTTTGTATTTTTAGCAGAGACAGGTTTCACCATGTTGGCCAGCCTGGTTTCGAACTCCTGGCCTCAAGTGATCTGCCTGCCTCGGCCTCCCAAAATACTGGGATTACAGGCGTGAGCCACTGCACCTAGCTGAGTTTCCCACTTTCAAGGTGGGAAGAAAGTTCAGATCTTACCTCTGCAACAATTTTGCCATTTCTTAGCTTTTTACAGAGAGCCCAGTTCCCCAACCCAGATCCCCACAGGGCCTGTGGCTTTGGCTCCTGTCCCTGTGAAGGTGGTAAAATAACAGCGTCAAAGTGCGTATCTGGTCTGGGCTGGTGGCCTCACTTCCTGTTCATGATGGCTGGGTTCTTGGTTTCTGGCACCTGCAAGTGTCCTTTTCCTGTGTAAGCACAGCTTCAGTTTTTCTTTTTTTTTTTTTTTTTTTTTGAGGTGGGGTCTTCCTCTGTCACCCAGGCTGGAGTGCAGTGATATTATCTTGGCTTACTGCAAGCTCCGCCTCCCGGGTTCACGCCATTCTCCCGCCTCAGCCTCCCGAGTAGCTGGGATTACAGGCGCCCACCACCACGCCCGGCTAATTTTTTGTATTTTTAGTAGAGACGGGGTTTCATCGTGTTAGCCACGATGGTCTCGATCTCCTGACCTCATGATCCACCCGCCTCGGCCTCCCAAAGTGCTGGGATTACAGGCGTTGGCCACCACACCTGACCAGCACAGCTTCACATTTTACACTTAAAAAAGATTTCATAGAGTATTTTAGTTAGGTATTGGGGCAACAGGGTGGATGTGGTTGGAGGGGCTTTCCCACATCAGCTTGGCTCACCCTCTTCACCAGCGATCAATAGTTTTACTTTGTATTAGAAACAAAACCCCAGTGTTAACAGCTCTTTTAGAATTTGTTTAGGAGGTTTTCTGGTTTTCACTGGAACTTCTCCCCACCAGCCCCGTCCCCACCCCCCAAAAATACAGAACCCCACATCACAAACACCCCCAAGGCCTGACCCAGGTCTTTTGGATAAAGGGGCCACTGCCCAGTGTGCACAGGCCCAGAAAGAAGAAAAGACAAGAAAGGCAAGGTGCTGACTGCCTTGGGTGTTGTTTGGTATAAACAGGTAGCCATTCAGAGAGGCTTCAAATCGTTTCAGGAGTGCCAGGGCATCTCACAAAACCCAAAGTCACTCAGCCCTGCCAGTCCCCAAGCTCTCATTGCCTTGGTGGCTCATCCTGTGTGTAGCCCTCCCTGGCCTTGTGTGAACCGTAAGTATGTGTAGGTGGAGGTGGTGCCATGGCTAGCACCTTAATTCACGTGCTTTGTACTAAAAAGAGCAGGCTGGCACTGCAGACAGACTGGTGAAGTCAGGGCACAAGCCCCAGCTTTTTTGGGGGCCCCCTCTTTCCTGCTCTGTGATCTGGGCAACACTCCTGATCCCAGCCTCACTCTGCAGATCTTAGATGACCCAGGCAAGGTACTTTAAAAGGTTAGGGGCACACAGGATCAAGTCACCTTTCCTGCTGTTTCTTTTTCCCCCCACTTTTCTGGACCTGATATGGACATTAGATAGTAATCCCCAGTGAGGGGGGACAGATGCTGAGAGGACAGGTCCTTGAAGCCTGAGCAATTATTAGGTTAGTGCAAAAGTAATTGCGGTTTTGCAATTAAAAGTAATGTCAAAAACCACGATTACTTTTACGTCAACCTACTTATAACAAACGGTAGTAAGGATTTGTTTAGCAGAACCTGGAGTGCCTAAGCCAGGGGTCCTGGCTGTGCCCACATTAGCAAGGCAGCAAGACGTGGTGAAGTGACCATCCCTGACCAAGGACCTGATAAGGGCCTGGCCCATGCACTCCTTCAGCGTTCTCAGAAATGTGGCCAACTTCTAAATTTCCCTTGAAGTCAGTGGTGATCTTTTTTTTTTTTTCTTTTTTTTTTTTAAGACGGAGTTTCGCTCTGTAGCCCAGGCTGGAGTGCAGTGCCGCCATCTTGGCTCACTGCAAGTTCCGCCTTCCGGGTTCACGCCATTCTCCTGCCTCAGCCTCCCCAGTAGCTGGGACTACAGGCGCCCGCCACCACGCCCAACTAATTTTTTGTGTTTTTTAGTAGAGACGGAATTTCACCGTGTTAGCCACGATGGTCTCGATCTCCTGACCTCGTGATCTGCCTACCTCAGCCTCCCAAAGTGCTGGGATTACAGGCGTGAGCCACGGCGCTCTGCCACACAACTAATTTTCAAAGCACGAGAGACATGGAGTGGGTGACTAGGCACTGACCAAGGAGGCCCCCACGGTCAGGGAAGACCCCTGCAACTTGTGTGTCCCATGGTGACTTCTTCTTCCAGAACGATTCAAAACACATGATAAGTGAAATTGTGACCAGTGCTGCAGTGGCACAGCTCGTTGGGCACTTCCTATGGACACTTGGCTGAGGGGTTTGCACATGCATTCTCATTCATTCCTGGACCCAGCCCTGACAGATGTCACCTCAGAAGGCCTCTTTCAGATGCATTCAGGTCCAACAGTCAGTTGGTTAATCAAAAGAAATGATTACAAAGCAAGGAACCGAAGAAACAGTTTCCTTTAAATCGTTCATTTTAACCCAAAACACATATGATAAGGCATTCACCAATCCCCATGTGGGACCCAGGCTTTTTGTTGAATATGAGACCACTGGTTGGTGTTTCCTATCATACACACACACACACACACACACACACACACACACACACACGATTATATAAAAATATATATGATATATATAAAAATATATATCATATATATATATATTTTTGCTTAAACCATACTCATAACATCATCTGATTTGCAGCTTTGGTTTCTTTAAAGTAGAGCAAGAACTCAAAGACATTAATGAAATAGTCTGCATGCAAAACCCTTCTAGAATCTTTTTATTTTTTAAGAGACAAGATCTAGCTCTGTCATCCATGCTGGAGTTTAGTGGCACGATCCTAGTTCACTGCAGCCTCAAACTCCTAGGCTCAAATGATCCTCCTACCTTAGCCTACTGAGTAGCTGGGAACACAGGTACACACCACCAAGTCTGGCTGAACTTTTAACAGTTTAGGTAGGGACTAGGTCTCACCATGTTGCCAAGGCTGGTCTTGAACTCCTGGTCCAAGTGATTCTCCTACCTTAGTCTCCCAAAGCACTGGGATTAGGTGTGAGCCATCTAGAATCTTTTACAATCATCTCTTTTTTTTGTCTTTTTGACACAGTCTCATTCTATCACCCAGACTGGAGTGCAGTGGTGCAATCGCAGCTCACTGCAACCTCTACTTCCTGGGCTCAAGTGATTCTTGTGCCTCAGCCTTCTGAGTAGCTGGGATTACAGGCATGTGCCACGATGTCTGGCTGATTTTTTGTATTTTTAGTAGAGATGGGGTTTTGCCATGTTGGCCAGGCTGGTCTCGAACTCCTGACCTCAAGTGATCTATCTACCTCGGCCTCCCAAGGTGCTGGGATTACAACTGTCAAACAGATTTTTTTTTTTTTTTTTTTTTTTTTTTTTTTTTGAGGCTCAATTTTGAGTCCTTTCAAAGCATTCAACTTTTTCTCATAAGAAAATTTGAAAAAGAAAACCCTCTTCATCAAGCCTGTAATCCCAGCACTTTGGGAGGCCGAGACAGGCAGATCACAAGGTCAGGAGATCGAGACCATCCTGGCTAACATGGTGAAACCCCGTCTCTACTAAAAAATACAAAAAACTAGCCGGGCGAGGTGGCGGGCGCCTGTAGTCCCAGCTACTCGGGAGGCTGAGGCAGGAGAATGGCGTGAACCCGGGAGGCAGAGCTTGCAGTGAGCCGAGATCGCGCCACTGCACTCCAGCCTAGGCGGCAGAGCGAGACTCCGTCTCAAAAAAAAAAAAAAAAAAAAAAAAAAAGAGAGAAAACCCTGTTCGCATCTAATTGACTTGCCTAATATTTACTGAACTTGTATAATGATAATGACAAGCATAACTGGTGTACATAGATGTGGTGGCAAGGGAGACCAGAAGAACAAGGAGCCAAGGTGGGCTGGGCCTGCTGAGCTCGCTCCCCTGGAGGTTCAGGTGAGATGGGTCATGCAGCTATAGCCTTTCTCTGCTCCCAGAAAGCCAGAGGAATGTGGTCTACCCCAGATAGCATGGATCAGATTCCAGCAGGGACCCTGATCCTTCTTATTTGAGCCTCTCAGGGCATGGTCTCACTTATGTCACTATCCACCCTCCCTTCCCTAGATACGCCTTTCTAGAGCACGACATCGTCCTTGCCCTGTCCTTCCTGCTGAATGACCTCAGCCCAGTCTGCCGGGGGAACCTGTACAAGGCATACATGCAGCTGGTCCAGGTGCCTAGAGGTAGGCTCGCGTCCTGCACACAGATCTGCTGGGCACTCAAGTTGTCCATCGGTCTCCTCTCCAGGTCACATATGTACCAGGGTGTGGATCATCAACTTTTTATTAAATTACAACATACATATTAGAAAAGTACATATCCGCTGGGTGCGATGGCTCACGCCTGTAATCCCAGCACTTTGGGAGGCCGAGGCAGGCAGATCACGAGGTCAGGAGTTCGACACCAGCCTGGCCAATATGGTAAAACCTTGTCTCTACTAAAAATACAAAAATTAGCCAGGTGTGGTGGTGTGCACCTGTAGTCCCAGCTACTCAACAGGCTGAGGCAGAAGAATCGCTTGAACCTGGGAGGCAGAGGTTGCAGTGAGCCAAGATCATGCCATTGCACTCTAGCCCAGGGGACAGTGCAAGACTCTGTCTCAAGACAAAAAAAAAAAAAAAAAAAGAAAGGAAAAAAAGACAAGCACATATACTAAACAAACATTTGGTTAAATTGTTCTGAGTGAACATGTCATGTAACTGCCAACCCAATCAAGACATGAAGAATATTTACCACCTCTCCAGAAACTTCCCACATGCTCATACTGGGTATTACCCTTACCAATGATAAACAGTGTCTTCAATTTATAAGACTATATATAGATGATGCCCCTTTTAAAACTTTACATAAATGGAAACATACAGCTTGTAATATCTTGCTTGTAGCTACTTTTGCTTAACGTTTTATTTCTGAGATTTACATGTGGTATGTATTACTGATTTTTGCTGGTTAATGCTGGAGTATGGTATTTACACTATGTGAGTATACAACATTCCATTTACTTACCCATTCCATTGCTGATGAACATCTGAATTGTTTCTAGCTTATGGCTACCAAGAATAGAGTGGCTATAAATGTCTTTTGATGGACATGTATATGCATTTATTTCAAAACATACCTAAGAAGAGAATGGCTGGCCTGGGTAAGTTTGTGTTCAGCTTTTAGAAGGTAGTACCTGGCTGGGCATGGTGGCTCACACCTTTAATCCCAGCACTTTGGGAGGCCAAGGCGGGTGAATCACAAGGTCAGAAGATCGAGACCATCCTGGCAAACATGGTGAAACCCCGTTTCTACTAAAAATACAAAAAAAATTAGCTGGGCGTGGTGGCGGGTGCCTGTACTCCCAGCTACTCGAGAGGCTGAGGCAGGAGAATGGCATGAACCCAGGAGGTGGAGCTTGTAGTGAGCAGAGATTGCGCCACTGCACTGGGCAACAGAGCAAGACTCCGTTTAAAAAAAAAAAGAAGGTAGTACCCAATGGTTTTCTAAAATATTTGCATCTGGCACATGCCATGTCCCAGCTACCAAAGAGCCTGAAGCAGGTGTATTGCTTGAGCCTAGAAGTTCTAGGCTGTAGTGCCCTATGCCCATCAGGTGTCTGCACTGTTTGGCATCAATATGGTGACCTCCTGAGATGGGGGGACCACCATTTGCCTAAGGAGGGGTGAACTAGCCCAGACCAGAAACAGAGCAGGTCAAAACTCCTGTGCCGATCAGTAATGGGACTGCAACTATAAATAACCACTGCATTCCAGCCTGAGCAATGTAGCAGGATCCTGTCTCTAAAAAAATGTAAATAAAATATTTATACCAATTTATACTTCCATTAGCAGTATATGAGAGTTGCAAGTGCTTTACATCCTCATCAATCGTAGATTTTTTTCTTTTTATTTTAGCTATTTTGGTGGGTGTGTAGTAGTATCTCATTTTGGTTTTAATTTATATTTCACTGATGATTAAAAGGGGATGTCCTGTAAATGTTTTCTTTTGTGAAATACCATAGCACACATTTAAGGGATAAAAAAGGCCTGCCCCAGAGGCAATGTTGCGTACAGTTCCTGGCCCACCAGCCCCGCTGATTAGATGGGGCGTCCGGGGTTACAGCTACCCAGTAACCACAGCTAGAGAGTTAAGATTTATGGCAGATTGATATCTGCCCGGTTGCATGATGCAATAAGTTTTAGACGAGGGAATCATTTCAAGGGCCATGATAGGAGGCCGTGAAGGGGATACCTTAGCTCAAGGTGGATAAACAGATGTCATAGCCCAGGAGTCAGATGAACCTGGGCTCCGTCTGCCCTTCCCCTCACTCCCTGTGTGCCCCGGACAGGTTATTTCCCATGTCTAAAGTACCTGCCTCAGAGGCTAGAAGTGAAGATGAAGTGGAAACGCTGGCCTGGTGTATAGCTCAGCGTCCTGCCAAAGGATGGAGTGTAAATGCTCAAAACCAGGCGTGAGCATTCCCTGGGTTGAGGCTCAGAGAGAAATGACTATGGGATCAGGCGTAGATAGGCAGGCCCAACAGAGCAGAGCCCGTGAGGGTCCAGGTTTGTTGCTTGGCCCTGAAGCACATCTTCTTCCAGCTGATCTGGGCTAGGAGTTGAGCACGCTAGGGCTATGGTTTTTTAAAAATACCACCATGCCCCTGGTCCTCTCCCAGACCACCAGGATCAGTCTCTGGGGGTGGGGCCCTGCACATATGTTTCTGAAAACACACCTTGAATGCTAGTCATACGTGTCCCAGGGTTGAGAGCCCCTGGTTTATTAGGGTGATCCACAGGGGACCAGTGCTGGGTTGAGCTAAATGAATGCCCTGCACTCACCATGCAGGAACCTGAGGAATAAGCAAGGGTCTTGTCCGCTCATTCTTGGAGTGTGGAGAGAGGGAACTTGCTGCTCTCAACCAGTCCTCTTACAATGATTGTGAACTACTTAAGGCATTCCCAGAAGTACAGAGATGGTGATAAGGAACATTGGATACCACCAGCCAGCATTGCCAAATCTTCACATTCTACATCAATATTTTATACTTGCTCGAAATTTTTATTTGAAGAAATCATAGGTACAGTCCAAGCACCCTGTGAACCTCCCCCCACCCACAGCACTCTTCCTCCTGCCTTTCCTTGAGCCACCAATAATTTGGTGACTACGTCCTCAAAATGCATATCTTTATATTTTACCACAGATATAATTACATACGGACTATATATAATCTTGCTTTGCATGTTTTAAAACTATGTAAGTGGATCTTGCTGTACATATCCCTCTGCTACTTCCAAAACCTTAAAAAACCTAAACAACATTAGAGATTTATAGAAATTTTGAGATGAATCCATGTCGCGCCCCTGGCTGTATTTCATTCATTTCCATCACTGCACACTGTTCCGGTGTTTGAATATAGCACGATACACTCGCCCATCCCAGGCTGGCAGGCTTGTTGATTGTACTCCTGTACTGCAGAAGGACTGTGCCATGGCTGTTCCTGCCCAGGGCTTCCTGGTACCCTGGAAAGAGAGTCCCCTAAGGCCTCTGCCAGGGAGGGCATCACTGAACCAGGGAGAATGTGTGTTTGCCTTCAGCTTTGCTGGATATCGCAACTGTTTCCAGCCCAGCCTCTGGCCTCCAGAGAGCCCGGGGAATATCTCAGCCTGATGAATGTGCTATGGTGTTTCACTGTGATGTGGCTTTACTGTCCCTGTCCTGGTGAGAGGAAACATCTTCCCTCTGCCTGACACCTCCTCAGATTCCTCTCCTGCGCAGTGCCTCTGGAGAGAGTCTGTTCATTCTGTCGCCGAGTTGTTTTTCCATTTCTTATTGATTTGAAGGAGTGTGTAATTTATCCTGGATTCCAACCCTTTGTCAGTTACGTACATTGCAAATATCATTTCCCAGGCTGTTTTCTTGGCTTCTCACTGTGCCTTTGTTGATTCACTGCTGCAGCAGTTCTTCTTTCTTTTCTTTTCTTTTTTCTTTTCTTTTCTTCTTATCTTTTCTTTCTTTTTCTGAGACGGAGTCTCGCTCTCTCACCCAGGCTGGAGGGCAGTGGTGTGTCTCAGCTCACTGCAACCTCCACCTCCCAGGTTCAAGTGATTCTCCTGCCGCAGTCTCCCGAGTAGCTGGGAGTACAGGTACGCGCCACCATGCCCAGCTAATTTTTGTATTTTTAGTAGAGATGGGGTTTCTCTATGTTGGCCAGGCTGGTCTTGAACTCCTGACCTCATGATCCGCCTGCCTTGGCCTCCCAAAGTGCTGGGATTACAGGTGTGAGCCACCGCGCCCGGCCCTAGCAGTTTTTCATTTGAATAATGTAGTCAATTTCATCAGTTTTTTTCCTCTGGGCTTTTTTTTTTTTTTTTTTTTTGAGTGCCATGTAAGAGAATCTTTACTCTGACTCATGAAGATATTCTGCCATATTTTCTTCTAAAATGTACGAGTTTGCTTTTCCCCATCTCCTCCCCTTGGCTTTTTCTGTAGTCCACAAACACCGGGTACACCATTAGGAGTAGGGGACTGTGGGGCCGGGCAAGGTGGCTCAGGCCTGTAATCCCAGCACTTTGGGAGGCTGAGGCGGGCGGATCATGAGGTCAGGAGATCAAGACCATCCTGGCTAACACGGTGAAACCCCGTCTCTACTAAAAATACAAAAAAAAAAAAAAAAAAAAAAAAAAGTCAGGCGACGTGGCCGGCGCCTATAGTCCCAGCTACTCGGGAGGCTGAGGCGGGAGAATGGAGTGAACCCAGGAGGCGGAGCTTGCAGTGAGTCGAGATCATGCCGCCTCACTCGAGCCTAGGCAACAGAGCGAAACTCTTGTCTCAAAAAAAAAAAAAAAAAGAAAGAAAGAAAGAAAGAAAGGAGTAGGGGGCTGTGGTACTGACAAGCTCACAAACAAAAGCCTCACTGGGGCTCAGGGTGGGGAGCCTCGGCCCTTCATCGCAGGGTTTGCTGGCTGCTGTTTGTGATCTGTGAAGGGCCCAGAAGGGAAGCCTGGGACACTGGCTATGCAGGGGACAGTTGGACAATGAGCAGAGGGAGGAAGGGAAGGGGGCAAATAGCGGGTGCCCAGGAGATCCGTTCTGGGGTACACTGAATGCTGTGGCCTCTGGATTAGCCAGTGTGACTGTGCCCCTTGTGGTGTCCTTCATGGGCCTCCGGATGGGGGCCTGGGGGACGGCGAGGGCATCTATTTCAGTGGCTCTATTCTTACCAGCATGTGGCCTTGGGCAGTAGCATCACCTATGAGAGTGTGGGTGTCATCTGTGTGGCTAAGCTGGGACAGTCTCTGAGCAGGGCTTAGCTGGCTCCCAGCGGATGCTGGTGCCCATTGGTATGGTTTCCTATCAGTGGCCACACTGGAAGGCCGTTTTCACCATGGCACCCTCTGCACCTGGCAGGGCACCTGGCATATGGGTAGCACTCAATAAATATTGGTTGTTTAGTAGGTTTTATGTCATATCTTAAAGGATCACTTGTTGGTTGTCTTCTTGCTACGGTTCACTTACCTGCTTGCTCATTCATTCATTCATTTGACAGTACGTGTTGGGCCCCTGCTCTGTTCTGGCCACTGTGCCTCAGTCTCTTCCCCTGAGTCATGGGTGTCTGTGGGAGAATGGTTTCAGAGTCTTTGCTCTGGCCAGGTCTGACTTGCATGATTTCCCAGAGTAACCAGGAGGGGGCACCCCAGGACTGAGGATCGTCCCAGGTGGGCCCTGGCCTTGCAGGGGCCCTGGGTCCACGCTGCCACGCTCAGTCACAGGTAGCGGTGGCTCCGCATTTCTCTAAGTTCCTTCCAGGCTGGCTTCTCATGCCTGGTGGTGGTGCCGTGTCAGGAGAGGAGAAACTAGGATTGTAGAGGCAGATGCCACACACAGGCTGCCAGCCCAGGCTCCCTGCCAGCTGGGCCCTGAGTGACACACAGGGTCCGCTTCTGCTCCGTAGCCTGTCTAACCCCATGAGAAAACAGGTTTCATTTTGTGGGAGAGAGAATTCTGTGGCTGAAATTGACAATTCTTCTCTAACCAGATTTGGGGTGCAGTTGAACAGCTCAGGGCCCCCGGAAGTATCCCTCTACCATCCCACCGGTTCTGACTGGGCACACCTGTGAGTCTGTTTTGGCCCTGCCTCCAGTCACCCTCTCCTTGTGCCAGGCTCTGAGACCCCAGCCCAGCTTTAGCAGCAGCATGATGGGGCCTGTTTGACCCTGACTCCACATGTGTGCAGCCTGGGGGTGGAGACAGATGACCCTCCCAGCCCAGGGGAGAGC